TTGACATTGTGTCGATACGTGACGTTGAGATGTCACATGACAATGGGTCCTCACGCGACACCATGACATCATGTAGAATCACAAACATCGGACTGGTGATATTTGAAACGATAAGAATAAAGTGTTCTCGATAATTATGCCACAAAGGTTCTCACGCAATAAAAGGGACTAAAACTAGGTATATGTTATGCCATAAAGGACCTAGTCTGGCAAGACCAGACTAGGTCATTTCCGTTCAATAAAGCCAGCATAATTTAGCTTCCTTGGCCGAGCGAGTCTTTGCGCTCAATTGAAAAAGTGCCGGCGGATTTGTACACAAAACAACTTGAACCAACTACTTCTAAAAATGGTCCACTCTGGTCAACCAAGCGATGGTCACCAAATGGTCCAGCAAGCGTTGGCGTCAAACTATTTTGCTGACGGAACCATTTCAGCTTTAGATAAAAGGTGTCATATCCGGATGACATCACCAGAATTTTGCTAGCTCCAAGTGTAATGTGACATTCAAAAACAACTTAAAAAAATAAACCGGACGACAGATAAAGGCATGAGTACTTGGTTTAATTTATTTTGTCTTGTCCTGGCATGCGGAGACTGCATTTTGCTCGTGCATTGTTTCCTGTCCTGTGTTTGGTCGCTTGCCTCCAGGTTCGCAATCAGCTCAGCTCTGCCCCGGTGACTAACGATCCTCAGTGTCGTAGATTGTTTCGGCGGCAAACATTTAACAAGGTTGAAAAATGTATTTGCGATACTGAGTACAAGATAGTGACGAATGTATTAAAGATGGAGAGCAAATTCTATAGACGAAATGTATTCGCAAAATATTTAAATGTTGCCAAAATGCATTTTGAATGTAGCATCTTGAGCAGAGTATTTAAGATATTAACCAATCTGCATTATAGTTCCGATTTGAAATGATCCTCTTTTAGTTATCGCTTTAATATTTCCTGGTGCTTCCCGGACTGTCGTGACTTGACTGAATGATATGAATGCCCACGCAGCACGCTTCTCCTGGGTGTGTTTGTAGCACCAGCGCCTGGTTCACGCCTCGCGCTGATTGAGCGCCCGTTGCTGTGCTTTGCGGCTGGTCCTTTTTGGAGATCTGACCGTAAGAGTGCGTCTCGCTCCGACTGCTGGTTTCGGTTCCGGCCATGCTCCGCCCTCGCCACCGACTTTCCCAAGAAGGCTGCTGTTACGCTACTTTAAATTGTTTTCCTGTAACCATCATCACCTAAACGTGAAAATATGCAGCACCACTGAATATGTATTGAAGTGCACATAAAAAATACACAGAAATGCGTCTTGTCGCCTTGTCCTCTCTCCATATATCTTAAGAATTTCATCCCTTGCAGAAAGAGTGAAGTGTGGCGCAAGTGTGGTTTCGCGCCTCCGCCGTGGGGCGCATGAAAGGTGACGCAAATGTTCATTGTGTCAGAAAACAGAAGCCTAGAAACGCTTTGAAATTTAGAGTTTTTTTCTAAACAGTAAAATATTGTACGTACCCTTTATATTTATAATTATTCGATAGGGTTGCTCTCGATTGTATCTCTCAAGTTTCTAAATTACAGCTTACTTTTAAGTTTATTCAATAAAAATGTATTGGCAGAGAGGTAAATAATAAAGTATAGACGCTTTCACGCAGCTCTGGATGGGCGCCGCCATACTCAACCTTCCGTTTTTCTTCCCTCATATTCCGTTAGCTCCACTTCATCATTAACACAGCAGGACAGGTTATTGCCATTTTAATTGTTACTGTGTTCTTCTCCCTAGCATAGGCCTTCGTAAGGCCTGTCAACGCCCGCTTCAGTGGCTTGACATCTCGCTAAGACAAGGGGAGCTCGGCTATGGCGGCTCAATCTTGCACGCTCTAAAAGCGTCTAAAGTCATACCAAGTCTTAATATTTTTGAAATGTGGTATTTTAGTAGAAATCAAAATCATATTGACTGTTTTTCCTGTGAAAAGCGTTCCTTTTGCACGAACAACTTAACACGAAGTTTGAGAAACATCCTGCTATTTTTCTGCGTGTCGACAGGAGCGCCGCACCATGTGGCAGCTTTTCTACCATTGAACGCCTCATTCGTTGAACAAAATCGGAGTGTTGAAGGCATAGTTAAAATAGTCCCATTTCATCCGTGTATCTTACCATGGGCATAGCCCCAGTATAACCTCTGATGCAAGGTGCACCAATGCCAAAGCCTTGTGCAGCGTTCCTTCTGGTGAACCACAACACTACCATGGAAAATGATATCATAAGCGACGATCTGCTGAATACATCCTTGTGTAAACTAGTGTAGTTTAGAGCATCCACCTGTAAAGCAAAATATATATATATATATATATGTATCAATACAGTTAGGATAAACATTTTTACAGGTGTGCAAAACACGAAAACCACATACAACACACCTAATATAACCTTTTTTCCTATGGTGTGACTAAAGCTCTCATCCGCACTGTAAAAGTCTACACGTTGTATGATTCGGGGGGGGGGGGGGGGGGGGGGTTACTTCTCTGCATGACCCAAGGTAAACTTGGATTCTTCGGCGGCAGATATATTACCTTCAGAAATAATTACAATTTGTGCGCTAATGTTGGTAACCATGTATACAGTAACAAGAGTTGTTTTCTGGGCGACATACCGTAACACACAGCCTCACAATACTTTAGTTCACAGCTGGTTAGTAGTATTTTGATGTAAAATCAGTTTCAACTATATTTGGATTTATTAATTGAGCCGCCATAAACATAATTCCAATATATATAGTACCCAACAGACGCTGCAGTTAAATATCCGTCTTGCTGAGACGGGCCGCCGCACCTTTTCATAAAGTTGCCGCGTCGCTCTATCTTTCACTTTTATTCGTTCATGAGACGACGTCAAGTTTTCTAAAATTGGTACAAGAGGAGGTTGTGTTGGCTGTGTCATTTTGAATCTGGACATTTCACTGAACTATTTTTTTTTATCAAACGCTCTTTCATCGAATCATGTTATTCAATGTTGGTTCAGCGAATTCCCCTTGAAGGACAACAATGTTTTGTCACTTTAAGAACACAAGCGGTTACGGTGACTTTCTAAGGAGTGACTGGCGAAGAACTATGCCAGACACAAGGGTTTGTAGAGATCGAGATGGCCATGCCGTCCGCACAAGCCCCGCAGAGGCCGATAAGACACTAGTGAACAAATGAGATAGCCAGAAAGAACAACGACAAAACAAAACGAACAGTTAAGTTTAGATTGAGACCGGGCACTAAAAGTTCAATTATAGCAACTAGGGGCTCGTCCGGGGCTGAAAATGAACAACGTGCAAGTACCGGGTGAATCGATAGCCTATCTTTTAAGACCAACCGACAGATCCGCGATGTAGATAAAACAAGTTTCTGCTCAAGTGCGCCTACCGGTACTGACTGCCGCAGTGCCTCCGCCAACGAAACTAAGGTAACCGCGGCTGCAGTCCACCCGTTTTACGGACCCTCTGCGCAGCTGCCGAATTTCACAAGCTTCATGGATCGACAGCCTCCCGAATAATCCGTAAAGATACGCGAAACTTTTTGTTTAAATACAGGATTCAGGTTTAAGTATGTACGGGTTTAAATTTGAATTCCTTGGGGTTCCCTCGGGCGTTGAGTGCAATGTCTCAACTAATATTTTATGTTGAAGTACGAGCGTAAGCACGAGTTTGAGTACGAAGTTTAAGTATAGGTTTAAGTACGAGCTTCACCTTGGGGTGTTGAGTGCAGTGTCTCATCAAATCTTATACACGTCGCTTATTGGCGACTGACACAAACTCGGCACGAAATACAGCCGCAATTTTATCCCAACTTCTGAAGCCACCGATACTACTCCACCATAACTTGGCGCTCCACTCCAGTGCGACCAGAAAGACCTTGTCGTGACGGTTGTCGGAGGCGACATACGACAACCGGCAGGGCATGGTATTCGGAATTCGGGATAAAAATTTTCGATTCAATTCAATTCATTTTATTTCCAACAGAGTGTTGGGGGTCCCCGGGCGAAAAAGCTGTCGTTGACAGCTTGAGAGTGCCTGAGGGCCCATACAGACAGCAACATTTAGAGAAAAAGTACGCAAAATATGACGAAAACAATATCAGTACACACAAACACCGTGTGAATGTATACAATTCTATATGGTACATGTAAACACTACATAAAAATTATCAACCGATTATCCACGCTAATTGCGGCAGCATTTTGGTCCAAGTTTGTGTCAGTCGCCGTCAAGCGAAATCTAAAAGATGAGTTGAGACGCTGCTTTCAACACCCCAAAAAGAACCTCAAGAAATTTATTTACAAAATCACTGAAATATGCTGGAAAAACAGGGAAGAACAGCCCGACTCACGAGGGACGGACTGCGTGCTACGCCAAATGCATCGCCAGCTTAAGGTTTTGCCGGAAGGAACGAAGTACGCAAATATTGAGCCAGCTTGCTAAGGAAGGGAATGACCTCAAAGAGCGTGCCTGGTGGCAGCTTTATTACAAGCCGCCTACCCACAAAAGGAAAAAAAGGTGGCCAGTGACCTAGTCTTCGAGGTACGAGTTAACAGTGTCTTCTCCAGGACGGGGGCTGCAATGCCCACTACTGTAGTACAGGCTCTAGCAGTGGCTGCGTCACCTGCAACAGCCGACAATACAGTCGACATACAGATAACCGCCTTTCGGCAGCCAAAATTGGATACTATAAAGACCAGAATCCCGGACAATCAACGTCAGGGGGAGTAGCAGATTTTGTTGTGCTGATTTCACATTTACATCAGCGCCTACAAGAAGTCCCAGATGGCAGGAGATTCAGAGGAGTCGATCACACCGCTCACAACTGTGCCACAAGTTGCCCGTTCGGTCCACATGTCCTCCAAGCAAGCAATCCATAAGCTTTGGGCCCAAGAACCTTGGCACTTCCTGGAGAACATCTTCAAATAGGAGTCCCCTTGTGCTAGCGCATCCAGCCACAGTGCTACGAAATGCGAAGGAACTTTTCCGACATGCTGAAAATGTATGCTTCTAAAGGTATGCTGTTCTAGTCTCTGTCCCAATCTTAATCAAAACTCTCGGTTGCCATCTCCCTTCCCGAGCAGCAACTAGACTCAGGAAACAGTCCTTTCGGTCATTGGAAGTTTACCCCTAAAATTCTAGGAAACAAGTGTTCGTTTACCGTTTGCATTAATACTTCTGGCAACACGGCCTTGTGCGTCGGAGGTCCAGTCAGTAGACCAGTGCATCTGTTCTGGTGGCTAAAATTTCCCGAGGCCTTTTTCGGGCCATATGCTATCGGCCACTCGACGCACGCAACAGGGTATTATTGTAACCGACGTCCCTAACCGACTGGATGCTTGTGCAACTCGGGGGTGCGAGTCGATCACAAGCATTGACGTCTCGCAGGGTTTTCGCCAAATTACTAAGTGCGAGGAGGGAATACAGAATACGGAATTTGTATGCCACCAGAGCACGTTCGAGTATACGAGAGTGCCATTGTGCGTCGCAGTTGGTTCAGCATCTTTTCAAACGCTGATGGATAAAGTCATGAATAGAATCAACCACTAATATTCAATAGAATTTATATGCTGTGCATTCAGTGACGGCGGACAACCACGTCGCATATGTCGTAGACGGCCGGAACAACGGCAAAAAGCAGCTGGCCGTGAAAATCATCAAGCATTCTTTCAAGATCATTCACCTACTCACTGGCGAAAATTCGCTACAGAGGGTGGTGAATGCCATCATCAACAGCGGGCCGCGGGGGGACTCTACGCTCATAGGGCGTGCGGGCACGCTGCGCCGTCAGGCGGTGGACGTATTCCTGCTGCGTTGGGTGAACCAGGCTATATGGCCGCTGTGCACGGGCGCAGTGGAGAGCGCCTTCCGTAACATCAAGATCCTTGCAGAGTGCCTGGTGGACCAGCTCATCAATGCCGCCAAGAGCTCTTCCAAGAGCTACGCCATCAAAAAGGACGAACTGGAGCGTGTCACCAAGTCCAACCGTTAAGGAGAAGTCCTAGAGTGCATCAGATCTGCAACACTTCAAATTAACCCTGAAAAAGTTCAGGTGTGCTATCAGTCGATTAAGTTCTTGAGCCATGTAATAATCGTTGGAAAATATATCCCGGACGACTGAAATGTGGTGGCGGTACTCGACTACTTCCGAACCACCACTGTCAAACAGCTGGAGGCCTTTCTGGGATTGGTTCGCTACTACATGAACTTTGCCAAACAGTGTTTCAACATTGCCCGCTGCCACATCCATCTTTTGAGAAAGGATCGAAAGTGGATATGGATCACAAGCAAGAGCCAGTCTTCACCGTTCTACAGAAAGCACTGGCGCACGGCTCTGCGATGAGTTTGCCGCACCTTAATCGGCCCTTTGTAGTGGAAACATATGTCAGCGAGGTGGGCATCGCTGCAGTGCTTAAACGGCAAAGCCCCCCAGCAAGCTCCAACAAAAGTTCTTCATGAGCTGGGTGCTTACAAAATCTGGGCGACCATACACCGCCCAGGAGCGAGAGTGTCACGCAGTGGTATCGGCAGTGCACAAGTTCAGACACTAGTTCCAGCTTACGAAGTTTGAAATCCACTGCGACCACTACTCACTATCCTGGATGTTCAACATCAATCAGGCCTCACCAAGAGTGAAGCTTGGTGTTCTTAGACTGCAGTGTTTTAACACCGAAATCAGGCACCAGAGAGGGCTCGAAAATATCCAAGTTGATTTCCTCTTTAGGGTACCTCTCCAGCAGGGGAATACCTGATAAGGGCCTGCCTGTGACGCTGCGTCCCATCTCTGCACCGGAGTCGGAGCATCAAGTAATTTTTGAGGCATCCGCAGCAGTGTCCTTGATCGACGATGCCAGCTGCTTGAGCAACATGGTGAGATTGACAGAGGAGCAAAAGCATTAGACATTTCAGAGCGCAGCTCTTAGGCGCTCGTTTCCACGTTTCGCGGTGTCGGCTTTGCCGGCGGCGTAAACGCCCCGCTAAATTTAGTGGGAAATTTAATTGGTGCTGAGGTCACGTAACGTCCGTTTTCTCGCCAAATCCAGGGTAGAAACTGAATTTCTTAATGAATGACGAGACACAAAGTCATGTCACATCCTTTGTGCTTCTAAATTTAGTGGGGAAACTGAATTGGTGTTCAGGTCACGTGGCATCAATTTGCCCGCTAAATTTAGCGGGGAATCGTAGGAGGAGGTGATGGTATGGAGGAGGAGAGGAGATGAGAAGGAGGAGGGTAGGAGTAGAAAAAGAGGTTTGGGAGGGGAGGAGGAGGGAAGGGGACGAGAATGAGAAGGGGAAGAGGAGTAGAGGAGGGGCAGGGGAGATCAGGAGGAGGAGGAGAGGAGAAGGAAATGAGGAGGAGCGGATGAGGAGGAGGTGCGAATGAGGAGGAACTGAGTAGGAGGAGTGAACGGAGTGTGAGGAGGGGTATACAAAACCCTACGTACCTTCCCCTTCTACTCTTCAAGAGCTGCGCTCTAATTTTGCATTACAGGGAATCGTAGACATCTTTAATTTTTTGTCGAGGCTCCTGAGAGTGAAACAAGCATGAAGCTTCTTGATGATGACCCTGGCCGACACGAGGTAGCGAACTTGGCTAAAACAACCGAAAAAGAAGCTAATAGTTTCCTCGATCAGCTTCGCCAGGAATGAAAGGTGCCCTGCGTCCGTACACACCTTCTTGAACTGGCACACGAGATGTCATATGACCATCCTTGAAAGATTCACGCAGATTTTTTCAAAGCTTCAAAACCCGTCTCGTCGCTTTTTGTCTGCTTGGGAGTGAGAGCCGATGTGGCCAGGTAGGTTCGTCTCTATCAAGATGCCAACGTATTAAAGCACACAGCCAGAAGCCCGAAGGACTTATGAGCAGCCAGTGGGTCATCGCACTGATCAAGGAGCTAAGTGTTAATATTGTGGGGACTCCTGCGCTCCACACCTAGAAGCAACATCAACCTTTTGTTTATCAATGACAAATTAATAAAGCTTATCGAACTTTTTTTTTTTACGAACGGTAACCAGCAAGAGCATCATAAAGTCACATGCTGTAAGTTTTCTGAAGACACGGCATACCCGTCTCTCTCTCCAGCTACAACGGCAAGCCATTCGTTAGTAATCTATAGTGAGTCATTCTTGGTCACAGGCAATCACCGACCCCCCCCCCCCCCCCCCCAAACTATGCTGTACTGGCCAGCAGGACAACTGATATTGAGCTAAACTAGCCTGTTAAAAGAAATCATTAGAGCTTGTTCCACCCAGAGAGACAGGAACCAGCACATTCCGAAAATCACTTTCGTGATTCCGGAATCGCGAAAGCGACTCTGGAATCGTAGTTCGATGAAGGCAGGAAGATTTCTGCCGTAACCGAAATCGCAATACCGTTGAGGGCAGAAAGCGTCGTCACCGGATTCACTCAAGTTTTTCTTTGCTTCGGTCGTAAGCTTCGCAGGGCGTAGGAAGTGGCGGAAAGCAAGTATAACAGAGAGCCACCACTTTCAACATGTCTTGCCTTCGGGGCAAAAGTCGCTCGTCGCCTGCGTGACGCACCCGATTATGCCACAGATCAAGAGAAGGTGAGCAAGGTCCACAAGACGTATTGCGACTGGCGCCGGAAGCCTGTAACAATACTTAAAGGGGACCTTGTCCTTCTTGATGACATCTCTAGCGATGCGGCCAAGGATATTACTAAACGTCTTGCACCACTGGGCATCGGGCCTTTCGGTGTGGTCCAGTGCCTGGGTTCTAACGACTTTAATCTTAAACGGACACTGACACCCGACAAAAAAGTGTTTTTGTACTTATTGCCAGGTGAATTAACATGACATCAAAAGGCCATCCAGTCAATATTTTGCTAGAGCGTCATGTATTATCGGAGACAATAAAAAAAAAGAACGTAGCTGCTCGGAACCGAAACCGAAACTGGACTGGGTAGGAAGAAGAAATATAAAGGAGGACCGCGTTGCCGGAAGTCACGCGGCTGTGCAACGTTGTTTTTGAATTAACGTATTAGCAGCTTTTTAGAGCCCCAAAAATTTCCGTCATATTTCTTTTTAAATTATTAATATTAAGTGTGTGCCTTTGATGACCCACAACTTTGATTATATTTGCTGGTTGTGTCTATGCCATGAAAAACGGCACGCGACCACGGAGAAGAGAGTGAGTGCGACTGAAACCGGCGAGTTCCCGATCGGCGATTTTCGGGCGGAAACAAAACGAATTTCGAGCAAATGTTTTTGGGGTAGTTGGGCTTTCATGAGTCAAGTAAAGATAAAGGCCTTGGCGAGCATAAATATTTTGTCAGATTCTTTTTAAAGACTCAGCTACTCAACAAAACCGACACGTGGCTCAGCCGGACATGCTGAAACCGTACCACGATCCAGTCCCACATCAACTCCCTCCTGGTTCACATCTCAAGAGGGGAAGACCTGTGCGGAGTGCCTGGTGAAAGAATATGCCTGGCGTTCGGGCCCCGCAGAGGCCGAGATAGCCACAAGAGGACATGCGAGATACGCAGAATGGACGACGAAGCACCAAAACGGGCGTTTAGGTTTGGATTGCGTCCTAGGGTAGTAGATGTTGCATCGTAAAAACTTTTTGCGTGAGGCTTTAAATTGCGACATTAAATGCATTTGTATCATATCGGATATTATTCATCTTTAGTCTATTCACGCGAAACATTTTTTGTCTATGTGTCCGGCATGTTGTGAAGCCCGGAAAAAGACGAGGCCGCCTGGCTCGACTGTAAAAGGTCCACCAGTAAGAGTGGTGCTTTAAGCTGGTAAACGGGGAAGTCACGTGACCAGAGGGGTTCGCGAAGAAGAGTGAGGGAGGCGATGCGCTGGATAGTATGAATGCTTTAGAATATTATTAGGTTTATTTTCAGGATTAGCGGTAGCATCTCTACAATATACGAAGAGCTCCCAAGTTCACACATCGTGCGTGTTAAACTCTCTGATGAAAAACGCCTTGAACGTAGACGTGTGGCGCCTGGAAAGAGAGAGTATCTCTGACGTTTCTGATGCAAGGACGTTTGTTGAATGCATCAGACAACCGCATATGGATTTGCCATACGTATTTTGTTTTTGTGCAAAGGACATTATTTAGCTCCAATTTAAGTCCGGACGCAGCCGACGTTATGAGGTGTAGGGGCCAACAATACAGCGTCAAACGCGCACCAACATGCGGTTTGTCATGTTTCTGAGCGTCGTTTTATTTCTCAACCAATCCGATGTACAAAAAAGACCCAGCGGCATGGCTTTTGGACATCGACCGGTCCATTTAGATCAACGTGTCGACTGAGTTCAAATCCTTATCGCGCTTTCGGTGGTCTGGCCTTGAAATAAATGAGTGCGTTTGGATTTAAGTTCGAGTCACGAACGGACCTAATTTGCTTACCGGGAACTATTACTTTGCGCTTCGTTCTGCTACCACCACGGTAGGTCATGCTCTCAGCCACATCTCTCATTCGGTCGATTCGTCTAATTACAGCGTTTTAATATTAGGAGGCTTTAATGTGCCTGGAGTTAACTGGGTTTTCAACAGGTCCAGTGCGGATTTGCCCAGCGCAGACTTGAGCACTGGATGTGAACAGGAGCTACTTGATCTCGTGAATTTTAATGATTTTCAACAAATTAGTCGTGTTGTAAATGCTGCCTCTAACGTCCTTGACCTCTGCATAAGGAACATCAAAATGGTCTCGCAGAGCGTTGTTCGCTATCCAGTTGTTTCTGTTGTTAAATGGCGTCCGCCATTTTTAGTGGTGGTTTCATTTCCCTTTACTGTCAGATCGGATGCCTGGACTCCGATGTTTGACTACGCTCGTGGTGTTTACCTCGAATGGTATGCACATTTGAGCGATAGTAACTGGGTCACTCTTTACGAGTGTGCTGATGTTGACAGTACCGTCTCTAGGCTGACTTATCTTTTAAAGTCTGCTATGGATCGCTTTACAAGGATGAAACTTGGTAGCCGAAGCAAATTTCCTTGGTAGTTTTC